ACCCCGCCTCTGCGGGCCGGGGCCGCTGTCAAGCCTCGGGCCCGGGCTCTAACGGCGAGGTAAAAAGCCTGTCCCGGGGCCGCGCTTTTTTCTTCTCTCGTCTTTTTCTTGCCCTTACCGGCGTGCGTAAGCACAAGGTGACTCCTCGTTGCGCCAGTGAGAGGAGTGAAGGCTGGCTGGGCTACTTTGCTTCAGAAATCCTACTCTTGGTATGAACAGAGGCTCCTGGGCAAAAAAAAATGCCAGGGTCTCTGTATAAATGAGGCTTAGGAAGACTGAAAAAGCAGCCTGGACAGGCACTTAACCTGCTTTTTCTTTTTTTTTCCTTTTTTTTTTGTCTGTCGTGACCTCTAAAACATTATGTCTGCCTGCAGAATGAGCTCGCTGCAGAGATTTTCTTGTATTTAATGTGTACTCGATAATAAAGATTTTGTGATCCTTTAAAGCCTGGAAGGCAAATATCAGGGTGCAGTTTTGCACCCTGCTAACAGGGTTAGGGAAGCTTGTGCTCCGCTTAATAAAGCGTGTGAAGTCAGGCAATTTAACTTCTTCTTAACTTTGCCATTTGTGACCTTGGCCAACTTGTTCCCGTTTCTTACGGAGACGAAGTAAGAACTTGGCTTCTAGTATTCTGAAAGTACTTTGTGAAGCTTAATCCGTGTTTTCCATTACTTCCTTACTTTAGAGGTAGTTTTTTTAGTGAAGTATAGCTCCTTTAATTTAAGCAACTGTTACAGAACAACACTGTTTCAGTTAACTTGGTATATTCATTCTTAATTGTTAAGTAGTTTTTAATTTGTACTTTGAACAGAAATGACTACTCATAAAATGAAGGCAAATCTTTTTATTAGAATGATGAATTGGCTCTTGTTTTATGGTGTGTCATTGCATGAGAGCAAGCAGTTATTTGCTAAAATAATATTGTATAATGTAAACCAAAGGCTGTGCTAGCACAATCAATATGGTGAATTTAGTATTCTAGGAGGATGTCTTCTATTATCGGACTCAGGGTGCATGGGTTTTTTTCCGCTGTGAAGGGCTAAATCTGTGATGGTAATCAGACTGCTTCTAGGTGATGTCTTTAGGAGGCAATTTTATTTGTCCCTGTGTAGCAGCCTAAAGATTAATGAATATGAGACTTACCTTGCCAATCACTATGATAATGCCAGCATTGACCACGGCACATATTATTAACATCGGTTCTACTCATCTCCTGTCCTAGAACTGTTTTTGTATTGGAACTCCATAGGAAGCTTACTTCTGAGGGAAATAAATAAATTGGAATTAGCCTGGTTCAGGCTGGCTGTCCTATTTAAAGTACAATTCTTCTAATAGCCTCAAAGGGTCAAGATGTTTTTCATGCCTATCTGAGAGATGCTTTTAGTAGCATCCCATTTCTTGAGCCATGTTGGCTGAGGATTGACCAAAAGAGTAGTGCTGTAAAACTCTAAATCATCTGAAGTATCAGGGCCTTGAAGGCAAGGCCTTGTAGGTAAGGACTGAAATTATGTATGGGAAGCTTTGTGTATGCTCGCAAAAAAAGCAGTGTGGGCTAAAGCTAAACTGATCTTCAGAACCCTAATTTTGGTTACTCGTTGGAGGTGGGTCTAGAAAATTAGACCGCATTTACAATTTGATTATACCCCACTGTTTTTTTTTAAGCTGAATCGTGGTGAACATTGGAAACTTGGCCAGTGTTCTTAGATCAGGGAGGATGAGAAGATGGTATTTTGTGTTTCAGCTAGGATTTCTAGGACTGATCTTCCAGATAGGAATGCATGTAGCACAGTTGCTACTCTTTTGAACGTGAGCTTTTGCTTACTGGACTTTTCTACCATATCTACTGCCAAAATGTAAGTTAGTTTCTGAATTCAGGCTCCCCTTGCATCTGGACCATTCACTGTGGTGAGCTAAATGCAAGACAGCGAGCTTTTCAAGATGAGCTTTTAAAATCTATGAAGGTAGGTGTTGGCTTCCTTACAGAGATTTCAAAAATAATGACCCATTTAATGGGCTGGCTTCTTTTGTGTCTTTTAAGGAAGGTTTTCACCTGCCAAAATACCGATAGACTTAGGAGCCTTGTAATGGTTACTGCCATTTCTTTTGCTGAGATCTGAATAAGGACACTCAGGTGCTGGGATAACAAATTCAGTGCCAGATGAGAGGAGACCACTTGGCAGCTGTTTGCTGGGTGGTCAGTCTGGAAATTAACAGTTCCTGGATAAAAGAGAAAATGTATAAATTCCTGGCTGCCTACTTCCCTTGGCTATTGTTCTCAAGCACTTCTTGCTACTCGGTAAAGAAACACCACAGAAGCCCCCCAGACCACCTGCTATTTCAGGGAAGAGAGAGAGGGAATGAAGCCGCAAGCTGATAGGCTTGTGGCTTTTCCTTAATCTTGTAGTTCTGCCACCCCATTTCTGAGGATGCAGTGGAAAAAGGACAGGCACAGAGAATCAACAAGCGTGATGGTGATATATTGTAGATTCTTTATGAGGAGAGATCAGATTTTTGAACTAGGCAGTGTATGCTGTTGCTCCTTGGTGGTGGTGGATCCTTAGGCTTGCTGGGCACCATCATGGGAACAGCCATATTGAATCAAATTAATCCCCAACAGAGTAGAGATGTGAGATAAGATTTAGATCCCAGTAAAATGAAGATACCACTCTTTTTAAAAGGTGACTTTTAAAAGTCTTGTGTAGACAGAAATGATTCTCTAGTCTTCTGAAACTGATAAGTCTAGGTGATTATTTTTCCCCAGTCTTACTGGCGATCACAGAAACAGAGCTTCCGTTTTACAGACTTCTCTTATCAATGGAGGCATGGAGATGTCCAGCCAGGATCCTTCAACTCAAACATGCTCCCTTCCCACTTCTGGTAGCCTTAAGTTGTGGTAAAGCAGGAGTCAACTACTTTGTATTGCTACTTCTGCAATTACCAATTTAATGTTTATATAGTATTTGATTAAACACTGCATTTCGTCGAGCCATTTCATGAAGTAAAAAGTTACATAGAGGTGGTCAAACTGAAAAGATTTTATCTGAAAGTTTCTTTGCATCTCTCTGTGGAGAGCCCTGCTTCAAATTTTTTTTAGAATCGACTTTGGTCCCAGGGAAGACTAGGATGCTATGAAGCCTCTGCCATTACTTTAATTTGCAAATCTGTTCTGTATGCTGAATTATGGTGAAATTTAGTGTTCAGTTTACTGGGTGACAATGAGGAACTCCATTGATCAGTTGAGTTACAGGGTTAATTGCAGCAGCTGGAGGGGAAAGAAGGAATTACTGTGCAAACCAAAATACCTGTCCTAGTATGGGGAAGAGATTTATTTTTCTTTGAACACTGGTGAAATCCCTCAGTGTTTTTTCCAGCCACTCCAGCATTTGGAGACTTTCACAAGATAATGGTATCTTGTAAGGTGAAGATATTTCCACAGCATTAATTGTGCTAGGTAAATGCTTAAGTGTTTTGGGGTTTTTTTTTGGTTAAAGAAAGGGCAGAACAAAACAAATGCAGAAGTTAGGTGGCTAGTAAAGAGCAGCTTATGTGTGTTAAACAATGAGAAGCTGGGTGGTGTTTGGTTTTTTTTGTTTTCTGGTGAAAGAAGGAAAAGTCTCAACTCTGACACCTGTGATACTTTCTGGAAGCTCTAAGCTGAAAGTGCAGCACAGTGAAATTTGATGACTGGGTTTCATTTGCACTCCTGGAGGAGAAGTGCCCTCTCTTGTACTGCCATGTTCACTTACTTCATGTTTTCTTTAACGAAGGTGGTATGCCCCTGCTGTGGGTCCATATTGCTTCTACCACAAGCTGTGTATCTAATATCTTAGGATTGTTTGGTAAGAAAGCAAACTACACCCTTATTGTTAGTGTGCTGGCTATTATGATCTCACTTAGATTTCCTGAACTTTTTATTGTCTAAGATGTAAACAAGTGTTATCAAAAGGACAATAAAGCAAGAGATTTGGGTGAAAATTGGTGATGTCTCATTGATTGTGATTATTTCAGGCAATGTTTTCAATGCTGGTAACAAGAAAACTGGAAAAAATATTCACAGGGAAAAATGAAAAATGCTTGAACAGATCTAAAGAATTGACTAGAATTTTTGATAATGCAAAAACAGTGGCTGGTACTGTGTGTTCTGCACAAGGAGCATTTGCTGATTTGCAGTCATACATATGAAAGGGATAATTTAGTGTGATATTACTATGTTTATTAACCTGTACTTAAACCTTGTAAAGCTGAAGTAGAGGATGAATGGGGGGTGAAAAAAAGGGATGAAGATTAAAGTGTAATACTGGAGGAGGAGGAACTCTGAACTCTTGTCTTCAGTCTGTTTCCAGACTTCTAGTGCTGATGACTGAGACTTTCAAAGGATGTAAGAAATGCATGTGCCAAATCCTTGGAAGTTTTTATGGAGGCTGCCCTCTGACTCAGTTTTCAAAGCTGTGTGAGAGCATTTTAACCCTGGGCATTGACCTGTCTCTTCTAGGTCAGGTGCTGCAAAGGTGTCTTGCCATAGCCTGCCCTTCTCCCATGTTCAAGGGAACTGTTTCACTGTGGAGGCTGCCAAGCAAAATTTGGGCCTTTATTTTTTTTAATTGCATTTTTTTGCTGATGTGTTCAGCCAGCAGTATAGTTCATCTGTCCTGCTGTTAAGTCACCTGTAGGGCAAGTGCAAGGCTTTTCTTACAGGAAAGGTGAGGATGCCTTTGTGAGAATGAAGGTAAATAGCACACGGATCTGCGCAGCCAGGTTGGTGAAGCTGATGTGTTTGTTCCACATCTTGCCTCTCCTGCTCTGCGTTACATCGTAGACCAGGCACATACATTGACGTCACTCTAGCTAGCATTGAAATGTGGCTCACCTTATGTGAAAAGATAATAAGCTTTGTAATGGTATGCAAGGACCCTATACAGGGAACTTAGTATGTGGTGGTGGAATAGGCAGGTATCTACTCAGTCCCATACCGTGTCACCTTGCAGTCCTTCGGTATAAACTCAATACCAGTGAGCAAATACAAACCTAGGGTTAGCTTGCTTTGGAAACTGTGTTGCTCTCCACCATGGCTATAATATGTCAGGAGTATAGCAGACTGTTCTTTGCTTAAGAATTATTTCAGCATTGCCTGAAAGCAGATTTCTCACTGAAAGCGTAAGGCATCTGCTGCTATAAATAGAAATGTAAAATGATTTGGTCAGTGCTACTTGTTCTGGGTAAGTTGGTGTCTCACTGTTTAACATAATATGCAGTATTGTAAGATCAAATGTTCATTGTGTGCTTTTAAAAACATTCACAATTTCTCTATTCCTCAGCCTGTAAAATCCCAGGAGTAACAACTGACAAACAATTTATTTATCCATGTGTTATAGGAATTCACTCTGCAAGGTTCTAGTGCTAACACTCTCCTTTTTCCAGCATGCCTTGAACAGTGGGATAAGACGCTACCATGTTGCTCCTGTCCTGTGCCAACGGGCCAAGGTGGCCATGAGCCATTTTGAGCCTAATGAATACATAAATTATGAAAAGCTGGAGAAGAACATCAACATTGTCCGTAAGAGGTAAGAGTGGAGGAGAGAAGAGGGGAGGGGTCAATGTGCAGAACTTTGCTCTGCAGTGATGGGAGAGGAGGAAAAAAATGTCATGGGGCCTTGGCATAGGGACTGTTTACTAGGGAGAGCAGCTTTGAGCAGTGGCAGTCACAAATGCAGTGCAGCGTGAGTTGTAGTGTCTCCAGGTAGCGGTGGGGCACTGTGGGAAGGGGTGAAGATTATGATGAAGCACGGTGACAAGCAGAGAACTAGGCCAGTGCAGAGGAGGTTCTAGAAATGGCTCTGTCCTCTTTATTTAACGCCCTCTTTGAGGAGCCTTCATATTGGCCCTTGCTCCTTTCCGGGGAAGCAGTGTGTGGGTTGTGGTCATCGTAGGCTAATGCTCCTCTGCACTGTGTTTCAACAGCGAACATTCTCCTGTGTTCCACTGTGGGCATTAAGCATGGAAAGGAGGGCTAGGAGTTCGTAGCATATGTAAACATAGTGACCTTAATCTGCTGATAATACGAAGTGTCCTTCAGTCTTTGTGTCCTTTGTTAAATGCAGTAGCTCTCATTTCAAGTCATTGTATCTACTTAGTTACTTCTCAGAAGATCTCACCTCTGGCATAAATAGGTTCCTCAGCCGATACAGCTGCAACATGAAAGGTCTGAGGTCATGAAACTCCACTTAGTTGTAGTTCCTTGCTGTGGGATCTGGTATTTGTGATTTGAGTCTGACCTCTGTCTCACCTCCACATTTGCTGTCCTGAGGTGTGACTCAAGAAATGAGCAAAGTCAATGTTTCTTTTACTGTATAGGAAGATTATAATAGAAAGTGTGAAGTGACGACAATCCATGTACTTTTGCCCTTGTTTTAGCTGACTGCCAGTTGGTATTTTAGTGCTGTAAGAAGAGCATGCAGGTTTCTGTGTGTTAATAGCTCTCAGCAGTCTGAGTAATACAGGGAAGCGTTGTGTTACATGCTTAAAAGGGCAAATGTTGAAGTACTCAAGATGCAGACACTAAAATTCTTCTCCCCAGGCTTGACCGTCCATTGACCTTGTCTGAGAAGATTGTATATGGACACCTGGATGACCCAGCAAAACAGGAGATTGAGCGAGGCAAGACCTATCTGCGCTTACGGCCAGACCGCGTGGCCATGCAGGATGCCACTGCTCAGATGGCAATGCTACAGTTCATCAGCAGCGGGCTGCCAAAAGTGGCTGTGCCTTCCACCATCCACTGTGATCACCTCATCGAAGCCCAGTTAGGTGGTGAAAAGGATCTTCGAAGAGCCAAGGTCACTGTTGCAGAGACTTAAATTCTGTCTGTTTTGAAAGCCTCTTTCTAGTTTAGGGAACAGATTTTTTTTTTTGCCCCTTCCCCCCAGAAGGACAGCCATGAATCAGATGTGGTAACAGCTTGCCGGTGGTGGTCAGCTCTGTAGATAGGTCAGATGCAACAAAGAAACAGAGTAAATGGATCTTTGGGAGTTTTTCAGCTGAGACTCATCCATTATATGGTTTAAATGACCATGAATGTAGAAAAAGCTAGTCTTAATCTGTTAATGATGGAAGCCCAGGTCATACGTGTGTTCTGTAGAATGAGAAGATATTTCAGCTAAGGGAGAAGAAAAATCTATTTCAAAGGGAAAAAAGGGAAGACAGATTACTCTAGAAAGTTATGCTTTTTATGTCACAGTATGGCAGTGTGAAAAACTTCCTAAACATGTGTCTGCATTGCACTGGTGTATCCTTTGAGGGGGGAGCAAATAACCTCTTTTGTTTCCCAAACCATTTGCTGCTGAAGAACCCTAATTGAAGCATGTGCATCTTTCAGGGCTAGTGAGGGTAGGTATAAATGTATGTAGAAGCATGGAGGTTGTTGGTTTTTATTTGGGAATTTTGATGTGGTGTTTGTCCAACTGCTGATTCACTGCCTTTTTTAAATTTCCCGTTCACTGCTTTACTGCTTATTTCTCTATAGGGGCTTCTGTTAAATATAGACACATTCACCTCTGTCCTACATACCACAGTGCACCTGCCAAGGAAAAACATGCTCTTAGCATAGCAGGGACGTGGGGGAAATCTTGTTACTCCCAGTGGACCTAGGCTAAGTCCACTGTCAGAGCCAGGAGGAATTGTGCCTTGGATGATGATACCAACATTTACAAACAGTAAACAGTTTGTGGGGGCTCAGCTGCATTTTAAGATTTTAGTTCATGTCTATTCTCAGAAACCCCTGATGTTGAAGTAAGTGCTTCTGGCTTCTTCCTTCAGGCCACCGTAAAGCAACTTATACCAATCGGGAGTGAATTTGGGGAGTTCTTGCTCCACTTGTCTCAGTTCTAATTTGTGTAATTAAAAATTTGGGACGTACTAAGACAGTTTCTTTTCTTCCCTTCACCTCAAGTCTTCCCCTTCCCCCTGTTCCTGCGTTTGTTCTCTGTAGTGCAATTATATTCACTGCAGCCCTGAGCTGGGCCGAGTCCCTCCTTTGCCATCCGCTCTGAGCAGAGCAAGTAAAGGTCCTGCCTTCTTCTGACTGGGTTCTGCTTCTGCTGCTGCCAGTTGGCACACAATGAATGCTGGCAGGCCAGAGGGTAGTTTGGATCTGCTCCTGGCACATCAGCATGCTTTACGGGGGGACGGATGCACAAACAGAGTGAAGTGACCCGACTCCTGGTGGAAAATGAGGCTTAAAGAACTGCTGCTGCCTCATGGGAAACTTCAGCAAATGTGTGCTGAGACAATTCTTCCATTATCTCCAGTTTCCCCTTGTTCTTTATTCTGAAGCATAGCTGCGTGAGAACAGTCTTTAAGAAACTCCCTCCTCCTAGTACTTATCTTATCTACTCTGCCACTCCTCTGCCAAGAACTATCAGGACATAATAGTGTCATACTTCCTTGGCAACCTGGTTATTCTCACAAGCAATTTTCACGGTGTGACCTCCACCAATAGTGGTGATAGTGCAGCAAGAAAGGCAGCATTATGTGAATCTTAAACAGGGGACTTGGTAGAATGAGAAGTGACACCCACCAACTCCCCTGGCATCAGCAACTTCCATTTCTCAATCTGTAAAAATAAAGCTGAAAGGCTTATCTAAGGGGTTTGAAAAGCATCTGTAAAGAAAAAGGAACAGCTGGTAGAGAAGGAAGGAGGAGTTAGAAGAAGAGAGGGAAACAGGTTACAAAAAACCAAACTCTGAGAATGCAAGTAACGAGCAGAGTGTTTTTAAATGCCTTATTGGCAGGGTTTTCCTTCAATTGTGCTGTTTCCCTTGTGCTAGTTGGAATTGGAAACTAAAAAAGATGCTTTAGTAGAGCTACAAGTTAGATGAAATTAAATGGGCTGTTGTAACTGACTGGCAAACAGTCTTGATCCTTTTTCGTTTTAAAAGTGATGTGCACCTCCCTCAAACTGCTGCAAAACTGTGGAGCAACCTACAGACCTCCCATGGGAGGGAAAGGAATGTATTTGAATGCACTCTTGATGTGTGGAAGAACAAAATGTGTTACTAACACTGTGCGTTTCCCTGTGTGAATAGGACATAAACCAGGAGGTGTACAACTTTCTGGCAACGGCTGGTGCAAAGTATGGAGTGGGATTCTGGAAACCTGGGTCGGGAATCATTCACCAGGTAAAGTGTGTGTTTGCAGTCTTAGAACACGCAGTGGCTCTTTTACCTTATGGTGAAGAACAGCCTCAAGTGCAAACGCCTAGAGAATTTCACCAGCTTAGGGAAACAACTTGCTTTCCTTGAGGCAGGTGAGGTTTCTTGCTTGCTCCTTCTGTTATCTTGACAGCAGTGTTTTTTCTTAAAGGTTATTTTGGTCAAACTGTAACCTGATGAATGATTAGGTAGTGCCAACAGCATGTCATGTGAATCACAGAACCTTGAAATATCTTAACTCCTTGTGGGCTGGCTCCTCTTGGTGTGGCTGGGTCAGTAAGGTGATGCCGTGAAGCTGGCTACATAGGGCTAATGTGACTTGCTTTTGGTAGTAAGGAGAGCAGCTTTGGGACCATACTTTTTTGGGGGTTATTTTGTATGCGTTTGGTTCCATAAAAACCAGGAGAGTATATAAGGGCACCAAACACAGCAGCTTACTTTGAGTACTCAAGAATGCAACACAAAACAAGTTGGTATGTGAACTGAATAAAATGCAAAACAGTTTCCAGCAGTTTCCAAGTATGAGATTCTCTAGTTGTAGCACTTGTACCTTAAAAGAATGTGACCGTCCCAAGATGACTTACCACTTAGGCTTTTTGGTTTTTAAAGCCAACAACTCTGCTTTGTGGGTCCAGTAGACATTTTTCATTGTTCCTCTGAGTCAAAGGCAGTAAAAGTTGCAGTGCAGCACAAAGCAAAAAAAGCTTTGTGGAGCGGAGAAGAGAATGGATGACATCTTGTTAGCAGGGAACTTGTGACCAGGTGCAGTCAAGAGCTCTCCACTATGTTTTCTTAGCTACAAAATGAGTTACTAAGGTTAACTTTAACTTGATGTGACGCAACAGAAAAAGGAAATAGAACAGGTGATTTCCACAGGTTGTGGGAACACCTCAGGTCATTTGTGCTCTGAAACCACTTGTAACATCTGTCACGTGGCAACGTAGCTCTGTGCCATGCTTACCAGCTTTCTTGTGGGTGACTTTCTCTGGCTGGAGAAAACTGGTCATGTTGTGTAGCTTCAGAATCCAACTCTGGCAGAGCAAGTCCGTGAAAGTGACTTTTCTTGCACAAGTGTATCAATGTGAGCTACAAGCAAATAAAGCTGGAAGTACTAGAGGCAGAACCTTGGTCTTCTCAATAAAGGACCACCTTAGTTCTGTGCAAGCTGTTCTGTAATGCACATGCTGTGAGTTCTGCACTTGCCAGAAAGGCTGTCCATAATGTTGGTATGGCCTATACACAGTAAGAAGGCTGGATTGATAGACCAAGGTCAATTGTGTGAGGTTTAACAAGGCCAAGTGCCGGGTTCTGCACTTGCGTCACAACAACCCCATGCAACACTACAGGCTTGGAGAAGGGTGGCTGGAAAGCTGCCCAGCAGAAAGGTACCTGGGGGGGGGTACTGGTCGACAGCCAGCTGAACATGAGCCAGCAGCGTGCCCAGGTGGCCAAGAAGGCCAACGGCATCCTGGCTTGTATCAGGAAGAGTGTGGCGAGCAGGAGTAGGGAGGTGATCGTGCCCCTGTACTCGGCGCTGGTGAGGCCGCACCTCAAGTACTGTGTGCAGTTTTGGGCCCCTCACTACAAGAAAGACACTGAGTTGCTGAAGCGTGTCCAGAGAAGAGCAGTGAAGCTGGTGAAGGGTCTGGAGCACAAATCCTATGAGGAGTGGCTGAGGGAAGTGGGGCTGCTTAGTCTGGAGAAGAGGAGGCTGAGGGGAGATGTTATCGGTCTCTACAGCTACCTGAAAGGAGGTTGTAGTGAGGTGGCTGTTGATCTCCCAAGTAACTAGCAATAGGACGAGAAGAAATGGCCTCAGGTTGCATCAGGGGAGGTTGAGGCTGGATATTAGGAAAAGTTTCTTTACTGAAAGAGTGGTCAGGCACTGGGACAGGCTGTCTGGGGAAGTGGTGGAAGTCACCATCCCTGGAGGTGTTCAAAAACTGTGTAGACGTGGTTTAGCAGTCATGGTGCTGTTGGGTTGACAGTTGGACTTGATGATCTTTGAGGTCTTTTCTAACCTTAATGATTCTATGATTCTGTGATTAACTTGAATTCTCTAATGTTTTGCTACCATAGAAAACTCATCATTTTTAACTAAAGAAATGTTTTGTGGCTTTGCTAGTAGTTGAAGAGTCTTGTGTGGAATCAACAGCAGCAGTAAGGGAAGGGCAGCCTTTTGGTGACGGATTCTTCTATGTGATTAGGTTTTGGCTGGCAGCATGGATTGGAGGAGCCTGTTGGTATTGTACTGCTGTGAGAGCATAAAGTCTACAAAAGGTCTTGCTAGCATTGGATAGGTGAACTGGCTTGCTCAACAGTTGATCGAGTGTTTGGAGACTGAGGAATAGACTATTGAGCCCTAACAAAGGCGGCACCTTAGCAAAAGCCTAAACAGGAAGGAAGGGGAGTTCTTCCAGTGAAAAAAATGAGATCTTTTTTGAAGTTTTCTTACTGTTCTGGGATGAGCAAGGATCCTTGGGCTAAGATGTGGTATCTCATTCTGTCATTACATCCTCTGTAAGGAGTCTGAAACAAGCAAATTTACAATCCAGAACAAATTCAGTTACTTTCTTGCTACTGAAATCTGCAAATACAAACTAATCTAAATTCTTGTTCTTGTCTTCTTTCTTGATGTCTTCCCCCTCCTTTCCCAACAATCAAGCAAGCAAGCAACCAATCCATTTTTATTTTCAGATCATTCTGGAGAACTACTCCTACCCTGGGGTTATGCTGATCGGCACAGATTCGCACACCCCCAACGGAGGTGGCTTGGGAGGAGTCTGCATTGGTGTGGGTGGAGCTGATGCTGTAGATGTCATGGCAGGAATCCCTTGGGAGCTCAAATGCCCAAAGGTAGGAGCGAAAGGAATACTAACCTTCGAGGTGAAGGGTGAGATATAAGACATGTAAAAAACATTGATTTTCAGGCACTATGTACATAAGGCACTATGTACCATTACAGTCCTGTTTGTAGTCATACACTGGCTTAAACAGCTGGTGTGTGATTCATTGGCAGCTCTGAGTTTCCATTTCCAGACTTCTTATTCAGGGACTGAGAGCGATGGGTGAGTAGTGATGTCCCTTCAGTTTGCCCTGTCAGTGGTTTCAGCCTTTGTACACGTGTTCTGATACTTTAGGATTTTCTCCTTTTTGGTATTTTGACCACCTACATTCTTAGGAAAAATTCTGAGGAATTGTTTAGCTGCTGAAAAGAAATGGTGTCAGCATTTAATGTTTTTTTCCCCATTAATGTTGCTCAGGTTATTGGTGTAAAACTGACTGGCAAGCTTTCAGGCTGGAGTTCTCCTAAAGATGTGATCCTGAAAGTGGCTGGCATCCTCACTGTCAAGGGTGGAACAGGCGCCATCATCGAATACCACGGGCCTGGTGTGGATTCCATCTCTTGCACTGGTAAGACAACACAAATCTCTTATCTGAGTGGATTGGTGTTGGAGCTGGGTGTTGAACTGTCTGTGGAGGCTGGGAAGGGCAAGAAGTACTAAATGCTCTTGCTTAGCCTGGCCAGGCGATTAGTACACAGCAAACTGGGAGAGTGGCATAACAAGGTAGCTGCCCTCTTGGTGAAGAAGTGACCTCTCCATTAAATCTCCTTGTGACTTTGAGAACACTGAACGGTTAATTGTGAAGAATCCTGTAAGGTGATGTGTCAGGATAAGAGTAAGGGTGGAGGTATTCCAGCATGTGCTTAGAGGGGGGAGATGTCAGAGATAAAGGATGACATTTTCATTTCAGCCTAAAATAGGCTGTGGATAGAGGAACGGAGCAGGTTAAAGTGGGTACGGATGTGACAGCCGCTAAAGACAACTTTTTAGACAAGCAGGGCAGAAAGGAGACCAGAAAGCAGCAGTTTGTAACATGCAGTCTTACACTATCTAATTGTGGGTCTTGGGTGCTGAATTTGAATCAGCAAAATTTGCAGTTGTCTGTAATGATGGTAGTCAGAAGCAAATTACAAGAAGTGTCGCTTCCTGTGGCTCAAAATGCAGCCTTCAAGCTGGGCTTCTCTCCATCTGCATAGCTTGGGTACAACTTGGAGTGTTTGGTTTTACAAACTGAGAGAAATTTGGGATTTTTCTTCTGTGAAATCAGAGGAACTTGACCTGCGATACCCGCTTCTAGCTTGTTAAATGTAAAACGGCAGCTTCTACAGTTTCATTGCTGTGTCCTTGAAAGGCAGGATGGGCCCTGTGCTGTGAGCAAATGTTTAGGTGTTTTTTTTTGATTGTGTTCCATCACTGGAAGCTTTTTATTCAACCCATTAAATTTCTTACAGATTTCTGGCTCTTCCAGTAAAGATAAATGAGATGGTGGGGAGGGACAGGACACTCATTGCAGGTAGCAGAGACACTGCTCACTGCTGTAGATATATTTGGTGCTCAGTACAGATGGGGTTCCCTGTCACCCCTTCTGGTATCTGCAAGACTCAGTGTAATTTCCAGCTCCTTCCTTGCAGAGAAGTCTGGTGGCAGGCACTGCAAGAAATGTTAGGGGTTGAGCCAGCCATTATGTAGTCAGTGGGTGGAATTAGGTTTCTGTGGCTAATGCCCTGATCTCTCTTGGCTTTGCTGCCTTTTCTATGGCCTGACTTTTGGAGAATTGGATGGCCTTGGACTTTCTCATTGACCCCTGTGGTCTCTTCTCCCACTCCTTCTCTAGGAATGGCAACAATCTGTAACATGGGGGCTGAAATCGGAGCTACCACATCAATCTTCCCTTACAACGCACGGATGAAGAAATACTTGGGCAAGACTGGGCGAGGCGGTAAGAGGGTTTGGAGTTTGAAGCAGGCAGAGGTGTGGGTTCAGGTGAAGGTGTATTCTGGGAGCAGCATCCTCCTACAGTGGTGTCTGATGTGACTTCTGACCTTGCATGGTCCTCTAGGTCATCCGATACAAGTACGGGGAGTCTGTAGATGAAGTGTCTGGGGAAGTATATGGTGGATTCCCTGTGTTTAGCTGTTCCAAGCTCTTTATTTTCCCTCATACTTGCTCTGCTGTTCAGATCTCCCTTCTTTCTTATTCCAGACATAGCTGCGCTGGCAGATGAATTCCAGCAACACTTGGTACCGGATTCTGGTTGTCAGTATGACCAGGTGATAGAAATCAACCTCAGTGAGGTAAGGCTTCCTTCCTGCTTGCCGTTGTGGATGTTTTGATGTGACTGCTTTGTGTGAATGAGGACCAAGCCGTGAGTTCGATGTGACACCCCTGCCGCTGTGCTAGAGCATCTAAAAAACCACTCGGCTCTGCTTTGCTGACAGCTCCTGCTCCAGTGGTGGTGTATGAGAATCCTGTTTAAACAGCTTACTGACAGAGCTATGAAAGGAATTGATTTGCTGCTGTGTTCTGGGGTTTTTCTTGGCTACTGTAATTTCTGACTTTGTCACTGTTTCTTAAAGCTGAAACCGCATATCAATGGACCTTTCACACCAGACCTGGCGCACCCTGTGTCAGATATTGGTGCTGTGGCAGAAAAGGAGGGCTGGCCTGTTGATATCAGAGTTGGTGGGTAGCATTTGCTCTTTCCTCTGCCGTCTTCCTTGTGGCATAAATGTTGCTGTCTTGGGATAAGCGGTTGGTCACATAGCTTGGGATCCAGTGCTTTAATTATTGTTCTATGTCCTTTGACTTTGCTGCATGTCCGTATGAATTTGCTGGGAAGAGTAGTGACCACCTGGGCCAGGTGTGTGGGATGAGAGGTGGGATAGTTGGAGGGATTTTGATCTCAAGAGGCAGACAAGTTTTCTTCCCTTCTTGGAAACTTTTGAATGGTTGGGTTGACAGGAATGTTATCTGTTGAAGAGCACCTTAGTTAGAAGTCTGTTGCACGGATTTGTCTGTTGCAAATATCTGTCAGGACCATGATTGTCAGTCCTCCCAGCAGCTGCCTGTTGAGCTCTCGGGACGCAGTAAATTTGGTACGTGCTGTCCTAAAGAGCAGGCTTGGGTATTTAGATACTCGTGGGATGGTAACCTGTCGGCTGGCTTCTCAAGTGTTACTCATAGGTGGAATGAAAAGAATGCAAATACATTGTAAAGGCCACATCCCAGGTGGGAAGTGTTTTATTTGATAGTGTTACAAATAGGATCAAGAGCAGATGTAACTGAAAGATTGGTGGGGTTTTTTTGCTGGTTAGCACCAGAATGCTGTCAGGATGGTACAGTATGTCCTGGTGTGGTCTTCATACTGTAACAAAGGATGCTTTCTTTTTCACCATTTCCTCCATTTCCTGCCATCTTGATTTGAAGCCTTTTCTGTCTTTGTGGAACAATACCTCTCTTAATTCACTTAACCAAAGTGCAAGCAGGTGACACTTGGATCTTGTAAAACAGTGAGACTAGCGACCAGTTAGCATGTTCTGATTGTGCAGCCTCCAGAGCTGGACAAGGGATTGCTTGTGACCGTAGTGTATTGCTGGAAGGCTTGGCACTGTTGGTACCTGAAACTGTTTCAGATGCCTTGTCAGCAGAAAAGGTGGTCCCTTGTTTTCTCTGCTGAGAGATGGGTGAGGGAGAAGCGTCCTAGAATGGGAGCTGCAGTAACCACCTCTCTGTTTGTCAAACCCCACAGGCTTGATTGGCAGTTGCACCAACTCCAGCTATGAGGACATGGGACGCTCTGCAGCAGTGGCAAAACAGGCACTAGCACATGGATTGAAGTGCAAATCGAAGTTCACAATCACACCGGGCTCAGAGCAGATCCGTGCCACCATTGAACGAGATGGTTATGTGAGTATGGCTGCTTTTTACACTTCCAAACAGTAAGCGTTAAACTCCCTTCCACACAGTAGTCTGGAGTCCAGAGGTAACTGATGGAAACATCTTAAACTTTGTCTTCGCTTATCACTAGAGGTGCAGTTACTGATGTTGTAACTAGCCTTGTGTTACTATGCCTGTGGGTCCTGCTGCCACCTTGACAGTGTTTGTTTTCACCTGATATCTTTACTACCCGGGCGTATGAGAACGGGATTGGAACTGGACAGATCTGAGACAGTTATCAGCAGCTGGGGCCCTGAGGAGATAACAGTATGCATAGCAAGGGATGCTGCATCCTCCTGAGATTATGTGAATGGCCATGGTTGGCGAAGGGCTGGCACCCACCTGCAATCCAGTTTTCTCCTTTAAGAATAGGTTAGGATGTAAGCAAGCCCTTTGTTGGAAGGTGGTTCCCATTTTAGACTAAAATTATGGCAAAACTCATATTTGATTTAAAAGGAGTGTTTCTGTAGAGGAACCATCACCTACTTTCTCCTCTTTTCTGTGCAGAAAGTTATGTTGTAATTAGTTCTAATATTTAATAAATGTTAGATGCTGCCACAGCGTGCAGACCCAAGTCTTTACATATGGATATGTCCAGCCAATACTTTATGTCTCCTCCTACCTTTCCTTAACAGCTGCCCTCTTAATTGAATTGAATCATTTGCTGAACGGGCTGAGCAGGCACACACACACTGTCACCAATTCTCTCCTTACACGGACAGCAAGTGTGTAGGATATTAATCAGACCAGACACTGCCCTTCAGTCAAGTATCTGCGAGTAGCTGGATTGCTCAGTTTGAAGTAGGCAGAGAAGGGGAACATCATAGCAAGTCATCCTGTGCTCTTCCAGCTTTACTGGGATCAAACCCCAACTATTTTATAAAAAGTGACTCGAAACTTGCAAGTGAAACGAAGAGGGGAATTTTCTCAGGCTTGGTGCTTTCTGTTAGAAGACGGGTGTCCTCTTCCCCTGAAAGAGCAACCCCATAAACTTATTCCAGACTTTCTACTAGTAACAAAGTTGTTCTCTGTCCCCAGGCACAAATCCTGCGAGATGTTGGAGGGCTGGTTCTTGCCAACGCTTGTGGGCCATGCATTGGCCAGTGGGACAGGTAAAGCAAAAGACGGACTTCACTCAAGCTTTGTATCTTTTAGCTCCTACAGTGCTCTGTGAAGCCAAATTTGATTGCAGATATAACACACTGGGAATTAAAAATAAATGCCTAAAAACCCATTGGCCGAAGCTGTCTGATACGCACTGGAGGAGGAGAAATGAAAGACTGCAGATTTATATTGAGCCTTTAGATGAATGAAGCTGCAGAATGGCCACAAGTATGGTCACATTTTGAGGCTTCTGATAGTAGGCAAAAAAATGGGGAGGGGGATTTGTTATCTGTGAGAGGGTAGACTGGAGTTTGTCCTTTTAAAATCGGAAAAGTGAATTGGTCCAACTTTAGTTATTGGAGTGACAGGGAGGAAAATTCCCAATAGAAAGCATGGAAGACGTATTCTCATGTGGCTTTGCCATTGCTAATGGTGGGATGCCCAAAGGCAATGTACTTCATTGATTATTGTTCAGACAGTTCAACAGTACACAACGTGGGCTGAAAACTACTCCAGGAGTCAGTGTCTGACTTGGTTTTGCCCTGTCCTTGGTTTTGAGTCTGTCCTTAAGGAAGGAAAACATGTCCAGGCACCAGTTCATGTTTCCAAAAGACAGTGATTGCTACCAAGACCAGGCTGGGGGATTTCAGCAGCGAGACGCAGAGAAGCAGTATTCCCTTTGGATTTGATGAGCATGTTTGTTTCTTTCACAGGAAGGACATCAAAAAAGGAGAGAAAAACACAATAGTTACGTCCTACAACCGGAATTTCACTGGTCGCAATGACGCCAATCCAGAGACTCACGCATTTGTGACCTCTCCGGAGGTAAGAGCCAGCCAGAGGGAGGCTGTGGAATAGTTCGGGGTGTCTGGGAGCCAGTTCGCCTGCCTGCAGAAGAGGCCTGGTGTAGCTTCATTTGTAGCTTGGCTGCTAGCTTTGGGCCTATTAGGCATAGGACTTTCAAATGAAGAGATGAGGGGGAAGAATATGCCTTTGAATTTGTCTCTTTTTTTTTTTTTCAGATTGTGACAGCCCTGTCCATTGCTGGCACTCTAAAATTTAACCCAGAGACAGATTACCTGACAGGAACAGATGGGAAGAGGTTTAAACTAGAAGCACCTGATGCAGATGAGCTGCCCAAGCTGGTAACTGCTCTGTCTGGAGAGGGAGGGAGGGAAGGCCTGTCGCTAGCTGTGTTTTATATGTAGTGAGGGAACTTTCATGCACTGACCTCTTCCTTGGTGTTAAAGCTAGAACAGGTGCAGTTGCCTGTGTTGGTTTGTTCCCTTCATGTGCTGTTGGGGATGGCTCAGACTGATGATTTTCCTTTCTGCTTTGGAAGGAGTTTGACCCAGGCCAGGACACTTATCAGTACCCTCCCAAGGATGGCAGTGGGCAGCATGTGGATGTTAGCCCCACCAGCCAGCGCCTCCAGCTTCTGGAGCCCTTCGATAAGTGGGACGGCAAGGATCTAGAAGACATGCTGATCCTCATTAAGGTCAGTGGGGGAACACTGGCTGTGACAGGACTGCTTCAACAGGGGTTTGCACATCAATTGCTGGAAGCTTTGGATGTGCCTTTGAGCTGCTTGTGATTCCCTGCCCTACAACCACATTGGTATGGAAAGGGAAGCAAGAATCTCCCTTCCTTCCAAGTGTTTCCTTCTGATACTTCTGTCTATTGTAACTAAGAGATTTTTCTCCTTTGGGCTAGTGGTTAGCTAATACCATGAAAAATTAAATTTGTATAACTGTATAATGTGATCTTAATATGACCCATACCTTGCAGTCTGCAGAATTTCTCCCATTTACAGCCTGGAGTGGAAAGGTAGCCCATAGTCAGGAACTGGTCTCTAATACCTGACTGTTGTAAGATGCATTTTGTCTGAAATGAGGTCATTAGGAACTTCTTATCCAGTAGTATGTGTGTTCTCTTCCCATTTTATACAAAGAGAAATTACTTCACAATAGTTAAACTTTGCATTTCAGTCTGCTAGTGAAGACATGGATTTCTCCTCAATGCCTGCGGTGAGTTAGGATGAAAATTTCAGTTAGTACAGTGATGGGTTCTGAAATGCAGTCCCTTGGGAACTGACCTTCAGGAGCGTTGCTGATTCTCAGTGGCAGCAGAGCTGCAGCTACTCCCCAAGGGCCATACTGAGCTGTGCTTGAGTTTTTGACCCAGGCAACTCCTGTGCAAGCACTTTGGGACTTACCAGTTGGAAGGCTGCTATCTCTGGTTGGGAATTCCGATCTTACAAGCTGAGAAGGCTTACGCGCAGGTTGGAAACTCAGAGGAAACACTTGGCATCTTGCTGAACTCTCCCAGCAGGGACACTGAGCTGTAGCAGGAAGGGCTTAATTGCTTTTTGTACCCGAAGAACCTGCTGTTGAGGGAAGTGAGGACATGGCAGGTGGTGTCGTGGCTGAGCTTATTTTTGTAATTTACCCTTTAGAACAGGGATGTTCTTCCTACCCAAAACATGTAGAATGACCACTGTGTTCTGCCCTAAGTGCCTTGATTCTGTAAGAGATGCAGTTGTCTTGGGTTTGCGTCTTTAAAAAGAGATGTGAGGATCCTTCACAATAAAAACTGTTGAGGAAGAGCCAAGTTACTGATCCACCCTAAGACACTCTTCTCTACTACCTTTTAGGTAAAAGGGAAATGCACCACTGACCATATTTCTGCAGCTGGACCGTGGCTCAAATTCCGTGGCCATCTGGACAACATCTCCAACAACCTGCTCATCGGTGCTATCAACACTGAAAATGGCAAAGCCAACTCTGTGAGGAATGCATTAACCCAGGAGTTTGGGCCAGTCCCAGACACAGCCCGTTACTACAAGGTGAGACTTTCCCCTGACACATCTATTTTAAGAGGATGTTTACACTTTGACCAGTCTGTGCCAAGACTGAAGATTTCATCCTCCTGCTCTGAAGTAAGAGCAGCTTTGAATTCACTCAGCATTGAGGCTTTCTCTTGGGGCTTACTCTGACTGCAGCTCCTGTAGGAGATTCTGTCCCTGCCCGCTATGGGGAAGAGGGAGGAGGATCTTGTGACCCAAAGGGGACCAGAAATCACAGACAAAAGGGGAACTCCTTTAGGCACTGCACACCGTACGAGGCACAGTTGTCATCAGACTACAACTAAATCTTGCCTCCTGTAGCATTTAATCTGACTAGTGTAATGTTTAAATAAATTCTAATCTTGTTCCCTTCATTCTTTAACTTAGAACCTCAAGAACTGTCCTTTTGCCCTCTGGACAGCTTGGCAGTGGTCTCAGATTGGTTCTTCCAGTTGACAGAAGTTAAAATTTTCCATGTTGCTTTCACAAGTAGAGCAGGGATCACAGCTGGTGTGAACGGTGCTCCGGCGCAGGATCACGGAAGGAAAGGTGGCAGCAACGATTTGCTCTGGGTCCCAGGGGCAATCCTCCCCAGCCCTCGTTAGCGAGGGATGGCAGTGCCTAACTGCTGTGAAGCACTTGATTCCTTTATTTCTGTCCTTCCTAAGAGCCACAGGGACCCTTCTGGGAGGTGTCAGGGCACAGCAATGTCAGTAGCGTAGCACTGAAATTAGATGTGTGGGCGGATATTTATTGTTAATTCCTCACTCAAGTGACTGCAGAAATGTAAATCTGTTCCTCTTGTCACAGAAAATGGGTGTCAAATGGGCAGTTATTGGGGATGAAAACTACGGTGAGGGATCAAGCCGGGAACACGCAGCCCTGGAGCCACGTCACTTGGGGGGCAGGGTCATCATCACCAAGAGCTTTGCCAGGATCCACGGTGAGTCCTCTTCCCCTGTGATGTGTGTAAACAGGATGTATTTGGTTTGGGTGGAAGCTGTGTTTACCTTTTGCCCCAGGGCTCAACGCCTTCAGGCAGGAACCCCATCTGCTGACAGATCACAAAGGTCCCTCTTGTCAGGAATCCTGTTACATACCTAGAGACCATACAAACAGTGGATACCCTGATTTTGCTACAAAGGAAGTAACTGTTCACAGAATACTTCCGAGAAGCACTGGGCAGCCAGAAAGTAATCCTGATCCCCTGCGGTGTGTTGTTACAAGCGTGCTTGTTGGCTTGTTCTCCGCAGAAACCAATCTGAAGAAGCAAGGTCTGCTGCCTCTCACTTTCGCTGATCCAGCAGACTACAACAAGATTCATCCTGTGGACAAGCTAAGCATCGTGGGGCTGGCAGACTTCACCCCTGGAAAGGTAACGGCATCTCGTCGTGGCACTCGGGGTACGGGGATGTGCCGCGATGTCGAGCTGTGTGCTCAGGGCCTGAAGCAGGATGAGATGCTTTGCACCCATGGCTGGGGGACTAGAGAGCAAGTCAGAATCCGATCGCGTTATTCCGAACGGTTACGGGAAACCCTCGTACGATGGTCTGAGTCCCTGGACTCGTTGCCTTAAGCACGAGTGTTCCCTAGAAGGACCCGCGACCACAATTCCATGTTAAGACCCCACCCTGAGCTACTATTTTCCATTTCCCACCCTTTAAAAAGCATGTAGGAATTTTCCTGTGAGAAGCTTCAGTTAACTTGCTCCCTTGGAAGAGAAGGGGAGGAAAATAAAAACTGTCGTCCTTCTTCTAGCCTCTGAAGTGCATCATCAAGCATCCCAACGGAAGCCAAGAAACCATCATGCTGAACCACACCTTCAACGAATCGCAGATAGAGTGGTTTCAGGCTGGCAGTGCCCTGAACAGAATGAAGGAGCTGCAGCAGAAGTCAAGCTAAGTGCGCAAAATGCCCCCCGTGCACTGGACTTGATTCAGCTTTGGCATTTTCATGAAAGTGCAATTCCATGCCTACCGTTGGAATAAATGTCTGATCAAATGTAACCATAGCTTCCTTTTTGTTATGGTACTTCCTCTTCACTGACACTATGAAAAGGGAGTGCAGCTAGGCTTACTTTTGTCTTTTAAATTCCCCAGCTCCCTTTTTCTATTTTTGCTCAACTTTGGTTGTCCCACAGTTATTTATATTTGGAAATAACCGGCTAAGGGGGGGTTTGTCTGCTCAGTTGGTTGTTTTCTGCCCATTCACTTTACTGATGGCTAAAGAAGTAAAATGAAAATAAAGAATGTGACCATCTCTCTTCTGCCTTGTGTTACTGTATTCACAATCCTGCTCTTCAGCCCCTGCTTCCCCTTGTCACTGTTGCTGGGAAATAACTTTTTGGAGATCAGATGGTACCTGCCCAGTTCTTTTCTGGTAAATCACTGCTGTGCACAAAAACACATGGTAAAAAGAGGGCCCCCACAGCTGCCTTGTGCTGCTTATCCCTTGGTGTTCACTGCTGCAGGCTACACTCATGACTGTCACCACTACACTCCTGTCCAGGGTGACAGTGCCACTGCTGCAGCGATGACAAACTTGCAAGGACCAAGGGATGGATAGGTTTTCCCAGCATCACACCGTAAAACTGGTTTCTTTAAGCACAGCTTGCCTTCTCCACAACAGGAAACCGATGTTGAGGAGCATCTCATTAAAACAGCACCCAAAGCAAGGCAATCTCCACCCTGCTACGCTCCTGGGAGCTCTGACCCTGTGAAATGGGAGAGGAGACAACAGAAAAACCCCCCAGGCACTACCCCAAAACAGCCTCTGTGGAAGCCTTTCTGCCTGTTAAGGCTCTAACTCACCCAAATTTCCACCTATACCAACAGCTGGGGGGGTTCTGCAAACAGTTTGTTTCCACCACCTTGAGATGACTGCGTGTCTGAGCACTACTGCTCTACAGGGAGCATTCAGTAAGCTTACTGTCTGAGCAGATGGACCTCAGTTACTATGTGAACCTAAAGAATTCTAGGCTCGTTTTAATTAGGGCGATGCACCAGGAATAACAGTTCAGAATTAAGGGGTTCTAACGATGCTGCAGGGAGGGTGCTGGTGACTCAGGCTTTGTTTTCACAGTTGGAGGTTAAGCAGACCCGCTGTCCCAGGGAATTACAGCCCCTTCCTGCCAAGTGTGGCTGGCTTTGTAATTATGTGCAGCATCACGCTCTTGGCACCGGGCCCTGCATAGATTTTGCTCGCTGTTTTGTTCCCCCCTTTCCTTTCACTGCTGTCAGGGAGGGTGACGGCCATTGTTTGTCATTGGCTGCTAGAGCAGAGCAAAGTGTTGGCCTCAACACTGTCTGCTTTGAAACCCAAGGAGCTGAGCTGCAGGAGGCAACTTTTTTCTTCCTGCTAGGCAGGAAGCTAATAGTTCCCCCACAAATTGTACAGGAAGGCAGGCTGTGTGGTTTTTACTATTTATTCCATTTCTGGTATTAACATGCCCTTACAAACAAGTATTTAACTTGCTCAAAGCAGCCTTGGTCCCTTTCAGCTCATAATTATGTATTTTCAGTCAAACTCCCGCAAAGTTTAGCTCATTCTACATAAATACAGCCCACCCAATAAAGTATTTCCATTCAGCCCAGTAAGCAGCCTGTAGCCTTCCACAGTGGTCATCCTCACAGGGCCTAAGCTGCCCTTGGGCAAACTCCTGTCATTCCGGTTCTCTTTGGCTGACTTCACATTCTTCGCAGAACATCACCACCACCTCCCCTGCCCTCCCAGCAGCAGCATTTTCCAGGTCTCCAGCGTACCACACCTCTGTTAACTCTAGTTGTTCGCTGTTTCTTCTGTTTCCTTGCAAAAGAAGAGCAGGCTTCTACCCCTCCGAGACCAAGCTCTCGGCCCAAGGAAGCAACGCTTCTTGACAGGCATTCTCTCCTGCTTTCACTCTCTGAAGTCAACTCCCTGCTTAATTCAGGCAAGTAAAGACCTCCCCAGATTTCCCTCCAGGGCAGGAGACCAAAGCTCCAGCTGAGTTTGTTGCTGCTGCACTCAAGGCTTTTTGTGCCCGTAAATTCACTTCTACAGATCACTGGAGACGTTTCTTGAAAGCGATTTGTCTCGATCTGGCAGGTTGGAAGCTGATGGGGAAGCAGAGAATGACAGGTCTAATTTCCCATTCAGCTTCAGAGGAGCAATGAGCACCAGCAGGACCCCGTAATCCCCCAAACACCCACCGGAAAGACGTTCTGCCGAGCAGGCTCTGATGGCAGCTAACTGTTTGTCCACCACGACAGGAGGCCCAGGCCTGGCTCACTGATTGATCCCTGTTCACAGAGAGAAGAGGAGAGCGTGCAATTGTAAACTGCGTACAGAATACAGGAGTAAATGCATAAAAATCTGTCCGCCCGAGTTACAGTGAGGTATTCGCTTTTTTCCCCCATCAGAGCCTGCCCAGCACTTCCCCAGACTCCTTCAAACCTCATCAACGTGAAACCAAACGTTCAACACCTGAAAACCAAGCACTTGCCCATTCCACCTCCTGACTGTCCCAACATACTCCAGCTGTGAGGAAACAGCTTTCCTGGGCTTAGTCTGCCTCCTGCATTGTACGCACACGGGTCTCACACCAAAACACCGCCTGGGAAAGGCTGCTGAGCTGCTGTGTAAACCTCGATGAGGGTCTCCCAGTCCTGCGCTCCTCGTAGGCTCACTCCTGCCCGCAGATCCTGCACCCACACATTCTGCCTTACAGCAGCCTCCCCGCGGAACTCCACCAACAGCCATGGAGCATTGCAGTGACAACACACAGCAAACACAGAGTGACCACAAGAACAATCTTGTTTCTCCCCTCTTCCACTCCTTTCATTTTGTAACTCTCTTTGCTTCACCGTCAGCTTAAAGCAATCAATTTCCTGGGAAAGGGATGCTATTTTAGACATAGAATAAACCACAACATCCACAAGGCTCTATGAATTATGCACACAGTTACCACAAGAGTGTAGGGTGCCTCTTTCTTCTGGACTTCTTCTGTGGCGTTTGAAGTGGAAGCCTCTGCAGAGCTCGGACCTGTCGGTGATGTATCGACAAACGTTTCGTCCACGACTCGGAAGCGGATCTCCTCCCCAGTGTCCATGTACAGGTCATGGGCCCCTTCTTCCGTCTCGTATTCCCACACCCACACCTGCTCTGCTTCATCGCTGGCCACGCCAAGGGTTAAGGACGGAAAGCATCGGTATCCCACTCGGCAGATCACTTCCTGACAGTTTTGAGGACAGACACAACCCAAAGCCTTTTCACCATTATTTCTCAAACTGCGATGCACCGCCCCAGGTCATCATCTGCACAGCCCAGGACCCCTGACTGGTTTCTGATTTTCCCGCTTCAAGGTGTACGCTGCCAGGCAGAGCTGGGGTTACCCCCACCCCCCAAACAAAACAACCAGGAAAACTCAAACCAAACCAGACCCCTCAAACCCAAGAAGACCTTGCTTACCACAAGCAAGTATATTTGACACACCATGTATCCAGACATTACATGACGTGGCAAAACCAGCATTCTGTCTTCAGTGGCAGCCAAGACCAGAGGCAGGGATTACCACGCGGTTGTTCGGGGTTGCTGCCATTCATTTCTACCGGCGGGCACAATGGTCCTGCAAAACCTGATAAGCGCGAGGCCTGTCTAGCTGTGATAACAGTCGGCGGGACTTGCCCGACACAACGGCTCAGCTTCTGCCACCGAGCACCTTCATTGTTGCAGCAGTGAATGCCTGTTGGGCCAGCACTGCACAATCTTTTGAAATGAAGTAGTGAAGCTATCAAAGGTGATCAAAGGATACAACTTAGCTGGCTGCTGCAGGGATTCCGGTGGGATGACAATATCGTCAAAGAATCCAAGAGAAACTGCAGAGAAAAGAATTTGATTAAGACTGAAATGATTCTTTGCAAATGATGTACCACAGCGATTCCTAAAATGCATTTCCAGACTCATTCTCCTTCCTCTTTCAGGAAGGACATCTAAGGTCGTGCAGGAATTACTCTTTGAGCCACAACGCTCAATTTCAGTTGGCAGCAAAGCAACTGCCCAGCTGAAAGTCCATACAGCAACAGAGGGCACAGTCTTCATGCCTGCTGGGAAAGGAAAAGGCTGTTTGGAGCAGAGCTGGAAGTGAAAGCGTTCCAAGAAATGAGTCAGATGCTATAGAGGTCTGTGGCAGAAAAGCGCTCAGAAATCACAGATGTAACATGTTAAATAAAGACCAATATAAAGTTAGAACAGCCCCCATCTCCCCCTTAAGACTGCATGATATTGAATTTTATCAGAGAGTGGACATGCCCAAATTCAGCAACAAATGCAGCCAAGATAATCTTACTGTCCCATCTTAACAACCAAGAGGAGGAACTCGCTTGCATGGAAGCCGCTACAAGAAAGGAAAGCAAGTTATCAATTATGTATTCCATGAATCTGACAGCGCTTTGTGCTCAGCAAGATGCTTCTCTGCCACGTTTTCAGGTGTAGGAAACGACCATGAATTTGCACAGAACTATAGGGAAGATGTATCAGACCAACACGAGCCGAAACTACCACTTTAAGGAATACAAGTTCTGTTAACTGAAGCGAGAAAATGCATCCAGTCTAAGCTCCAGAGGGGCTTGCCTGTGCTTCTTGGGCATGCACACGAATGACAAAAGGAAAGGGGAATGCAGACAAAGCCACCAAGCACAGGGGAAGCTGCCAGCCTCCAACTACCAAGCACCCTCAGCTCAGAGCAGCGCTAGAGGCCAGCAACAGTCTTTACCCAGCCTACAGACAGCACGATGCCACCTGCAATCAGGGTATCTCAACAGAGCTAAGAGCTCTGCAGCTCATGTGTCCCTAACGTTAGAAGTTGTGGTTTACCGTGAACGCCATCCTGACTGCAGCTTTTAATCTGCCCAATCAGAATCTCATCCAGGAAGGGGTGGAAGACCACGTAGCGGAAATGCACTTAAAAGAAAACAGATCATTAATGTTACGTCCATGTTAGTGAACTATACTCTTTCCACACGGTGGCAGCCATTAAAACAAAATCCCATCTCCTATATGCCTTCTACGACGCTTACCCAGTTTCTTTTACAATTTCCTTGCAGGCGCTGATTACGGGAATAAGAGTTACTATTCCTAACTGTTTTGTACGAATTATGACAGTGGTTGATCAGCAGCCTCCTGTTCTCCGCTCATCAACTTTGCAAGAATTAAAGTTCACAATATAAGACTGTGAGATGAAGAACATGGAGCAGGGCCTCTGCTTTAGTCACGATGTGAGCGTTCCTGCACAATGCTTCAAGGCCAAGAATATGTTGAAATGATACATTCATAATACTTCTGCTCCTTACATCTTTGTCAGCAATGCTCTATTTTCTTCAAGTGAAATATCCAATATAAATTACTATCAGGGTAAATTAAGATTCTCTAACACAACTGGATTTTCATGCAGGTTAAAGCAAATGATGTTTCTAACTAAGCATTTTGAATTTCCAAGAAAGCTATACTAAGACAGTCTTAGCCAAACAATGCTGATGAGCAATTTAACATCATTTTAGCTGTCCATACTGTGTGCTCCCCTTTTACATAAAATCAGGCAGTACATTAGAGAAAGTCATTATGAGACACAACAGGATTTATGAAAGTGCTGCCCCAGATTCTGAAAGCAGGAGACTTTTTTCCAGGCTCGGAGAGAATATATTCTCTTGTTTCAGTTCAAGGAGTAATTCAAAGTTAAGAAGCTGAATGGAGATTAAAGCAAGTAGGAAAGCCTGCCACCCATCTTCAGTATTAGAGCTTTTATTTGCAGGGAGCGAGTTCTATTGGACTTAAAATTTAGACAAGGGGAGCCGCACACAGTTCAGTCCAGTTCCCTTCTAACAAGAAACATTTCATTTGCTTAAGCTATGCTTCCACATTAAAAATTGAAGCTAGAAAAATGTACTTCTTTCCAGCTTATTTAAAGAAACTTATTTTAACTCAAGAAAATGTACGAAATTTGCTTTTAGGCACTTACTTCCAGTTTTTACTCAGTTTTGCCAAAAGTTGAGTAAAGGAATTTGTCACTTCTTATTAAAAATAAAAAAAAAACTCACTAGAAATGTATGCTGAACCAGATCTGTCTAAGTCTCAAATAAAAATGTAGCAAAACTTCCAGCTAGGAAAACAGCATCAAATGCTGTGTAAATGTTATATATAGAAACATGTTTCAACATTCTAGCTAGGGAAAACAAGCTTCAAAAAGAAAAAATCTTAGACAAATGCAGAACAATGAATACAACTTACTTTCTATGTGTGTATTTCCAACCATCTTAAATTAAATTTACCCTTTCCTTATCCCACACTTCTGGCTCTAATTGTAGAGCAGAGATGGACTGCTGGAGAAGGCAGACAGGACTGGCTATTTAAAGCTGTATTTGTGCACAAAAAAATGCAAAGGAAAGAGAGTTTTGCCATGTTCCTCTTGCACTCCTAGTAGGAACAGAGTTAAGGTTACAAACATCGTAAGTTTCTTTAAATTTCCTTTCCCTAAAAATTGACCTCGGTTTACATTTCCAGCTCACTAACCTTCTGCACAACCATATAACTGAGGGCAAGCGTATACCTTTGGTATGTGACGCACCGTCGCCAGGGAATATGTATGAATCTTCCAGCTTTGTGATATCATACAGACAGATGCACAGGCCAACGTTGTATACAACCTGCCCAAAGAAAAAAAATAATTAAAAAGCAGTAAGTCAAGCAATGCACCAGGTTACATCAAGCAAGCCATCATATTTATACACCACACACACCTTTTCACAGAATCACAGAATGGTAGGGGTTGGAAGGGACCTCTGCGGGTCATCTAGTCCAACCCCCCTGCC